TTCTCAGCCGTGATCGCCCACACCCACACTACTTATGGCGTTAGTGGGCTAGACACAGGTCTGCCTCCGTTCCTGCGTCCTGTCCCAGATTTACTCCCCTAATTGTGGCCCCAAAATGGGGGCAGCAGGACTATTTCCTGGCCTGCGACACCTTTTCTTGTCCTCCCCTTCCGCCTTCTCATCCTCCTTCCCCTCGTCTCTCACTTTCTTTTGATCTCGCAAATCCAGGCCCTTGGAGAAATCAGACAGTATAAAATATGAAAACTGCTTGGGAAGTAATTGAAGAAACACTGTGACTTTTGAAACCCATAGAGATAACACTCACACCTTCTTACTCACGTTATTTAATTTTTAATGGCAGATTTAATTAATGGAGCTCAGGTCTTCTGGTTTCAGATGTGCATATGGAGCAGTTCGTTGGTGGGGTGGGGGGAGGTGGGGATGGGCATTTATAGGGCGGAGGAAAAGACTCCAAAATCGGGACTCTGAAGAGTCTAATGGAAAAGAAAAAGCACCCAGAAATCCTAGTTCACCATCACTGGGTGCTAGTTAACATGTAGGGATTCAGTACAGTGCATTTCAGGGCGGTTTCCCAGCGACTTATAAGTGGGCAGCGGGACTCCCTCCCAGATGCGCGCCTTGCCCTCGTGGTGCTGTGGGCTTGTGCTGCGGGGTCCCAGGGCTCTCCTGGTACTGCCTCCATCATCCACACAGCTGCCACATGTGCTTTCTGAAGTACAAATCTACCCTGCCACTCCCTTGCTTAGAAAAGAACACCTTGGTTCACCCCTCATTGCCTGTGGGCTGAGGTCCAGGCTTTCAGCCTGCAGTTGAGACCGCCTGTGCCGGCTCCCAGGCTGCCTTTCTCTCCAGCCCCTTCCCTCACCCTTGCTTCTGGTGCGACTGCAGCGTTTATCATGTGGTGCCCCTCACTCTCCCTCGTGCCGCGGCATCCCTTTACAAGACCCCTCTCATTATTGGCTCATTTCTGCTCATCCTGTAAGACTCAGTTCTTTAAAAGTGGATGTACCCTGGGGCTGGCCCGGTGGCATAGTGGTAGGGTTCGTGCGCTCCGCTTCGGCGGCCCAGGGTTCGCAGGTTCAGATCCCAGGCACAGACCTATGCACCACTTATCAAGCCATGCTGTGGCAGGTATCCCACATATAAAGTAGAGGAAGATGGGCATGGATGTTAGCCCAGGGTCAATCTTCCTCAGCAAAAAGAGGAGGATTGGCAACAGATATTAGCCCTGAGGGCTAATCTTCCTCACACACAAAAAAAAAGTGGATGTACCCTTTGACCCAAGAATTTGCCTTCTAGAACGTACCCTTCAGATATGCTCACTTGTGCAGAAAGGTATAGATGCCATAATGTGCCTTTCAGCATTGCTTGTAATAGAGAAGACAGCAAACTGTCCACGGGTGGAGAACTGCTCTTGTGAGCTGTGGGACAGCCATCCCTGCAATGGAACACTATTCAGTAGGTAAAATGTATGAGGCCTCTGAGAAGTAAGTGAAAAAATAAGGAGCGGCTTGTCGTGTCTGGCATGGTGCGGCATGTCAACAAGTGGGCCTGCGTGTGTGAGCTTGCTCACACACATGCAGTGGAGGAGGGGAGAACTCTGGGGGCCAGGCTGGCAAAGAGGCTGGGTGGTCACCGTATTGCTACCCTATGTCCTTCGTGCTTTTGCCTTTTTAAACCACATGTATGTATTATTTTTTCAAAAACATTGTTTAATGTAAAAGAGAAAATTTAGGCCTCAGTTCAGGTGCCAGTTCCCAAGAAGCCAGTCTGACAGTCTCTGCCAGGCTCTCCTGTCTGGTGCCCCCACTGTAATTGTGACGTGTTGTCTGGGAGCCCCGTGAGGCCAAGGAGCAGGCACACTTGTCTGGAAACCTGCTGGCACTCAGCAAGTTCTCGGCATGACCGCTGGTGGCTTCCAGTCCGTCAGAAACCCCTCAGTGACAGTGTGGTCCAGGAGTCTATGGAGGGCTGTGCTCTGCCTGACAGAGGGGTCTGGTGCAGTCCAGGAGCTTCAGGAAGGCCTGGTGGACACGAGGGTGGTGACACAGGGAGCTGGCTCAGCACTCCCAAGGCACGGACAAAGACCTTCATGTGCCAGGGAGCAGTAGTGGGGGCGTGGGGGCGCTCTGCAGCTCCCGGCCCAGGGTCTGCTCAGGCAGATTAGATGGTGGGATGGGCAGGTTGCGGCAGGAATGGAAATTCCTCTAAGTCATTCTGAGAGACAATAGAGGAAGCTGCAGTGGGGTAATCACAACCACTTCTTGGCCTGTGGGCACTTTCTGTGACAAATCTTGCTGACCACATGTTCAGTCTAAGCTTGTAGTCTACTCAGCCGCTCACCCAGTTCACTCTGGCCGGGCTGTGTGCATGGAGATGCAGGGTCAGAGCAAGGGTGCCAAGCGTCCTGTCAGCCCACAGCATGCTGGGCCCCATCTGGGCCATGGATACTCCCTTGGTAAGGGACATTGACAGGTGATGGGGCCTGGAAGACTGTGACCTGACACTTCTTCAAAGAGGAGAAGGCCTGAGGCATGAGGCTATCTTGTGGGAAAGAAAACAGACCAGGATGGGTGGGAGAGCTTAGGTGAGGCACATGTTAGCTTCAGAAAGTTCAGTGGTGCAATGACTGGCTATGGTCGGCCAACAGGGTAGATACTGTGAGCCCGGCACAGTCTCTCAGCCACCCTGTGAGGGAGCAGGTGCACTGTCTCACAGCCAGGAAACAAGGCTCAAGGAAGTAAGTGACTTACCCAGGGAACACAGACAGCGTGTGCCAAAGCAAAAATTGAAACGTGGGTCTCTGGCCCCTGCCGTCCCATGAGTGGCCCATGAGTGGAAGGTTCAGACTGAGTCCAAAGGACCCCCATGAAGGATGCAGGGAGAGGGAGGGAGGCCCCCATTTGACTTATCTCTGTCCTTATTCCCTTGCCTAGGACAGTCAGTGTTGGTTGAATGTCAGACTGGTTGAGGCAAAATCCTATCTCTTGGCTGGAACGTCAGAGCTCCAGAGAGGAGACGTGCCGGGCAGCTAGGAGTCAGCACATACTGGGGAATCAGGGCAGCCCTGGCTGTGAGGGGAGACCCCCATTTATTTCGTGCCTGCTGTATGCTGGGAGTGTTCGCATTTCCCAGCTGCTGTGCCTGATGGCCATCGGAGGGAGGCATCGGCCACCTCCCGGTTCAGAGGTGAGGAACAGAGCTGGGGAGAGGCAGGGTGACCTGGCCGGGCGCACTCTGCAGCTGAGGGGTGCAAGGCCCTGCATTGCCCC